CATTAATATCCATAATCCACATTTAATTGTCGCCTCATACGAGGCTCGCGTATCTGAGACACCGTTACGTGCTAAAGAACAACCTCAAACATTCTCCACTCAATGAGCCCTGTGTCTATGATACGCAAAACACAAAGCCTAACGGGTTCCGAGGGCGCCTGCGGGCAAAGCCCTTCTTCTCCTTTAGTAAAGGGTGCATCTCAGGAGATTACGTCCGCGGCTTCACGGGAAGCACATCTCAAGTCTCGACAGCCGAGCGCAACACACCATACTCGTCTCGGGCAACAGATTTCCTTGTCGAGGATTCGAAGAAAGTCGCAACGAGTCGGATACTCCTTTCCTAGCATGGGAAGTCGAGGAGGGCGAGGTGCGCCAACGACACGGCGTGAGCTCATCTCGAACCTTGCGGGCATCGTGTCAGTTCCCCGACCTCTTGACTTCCGGGGATGTGGTATTGTTCCCAATCGCCTCAACGAAGCACTGGAGCAGCAATTGGAGGCTGCCATAGGGCGGATCTCATGCGATCGTATCCACGTTCGATCCTAGACCCTCGTGTGGAGTACGGCTTCCGCTCGGTGTATCCTGCTACTGAAACAAAAGACGCGATTAATCGATTTTGTCGGCGTCTACATAGTCGGTCCCCGGCCACTACACAAGCCGAGCTACATCAGCGATAAGCTCTCCGAGCTCGTCTTTTGGAACCACAAGAAATCGCAATAGATCGGTACCGCGCTCAACTTCGAGCTCAAAAAGGTGGCGCTCCTGTATCCGCAATGCGGACTATTCCTGTAGTGCTCGCCCCTGGCGAAACCGCTTCAGATGATGAGGAGCTCTTGAGCGATGGGTGCAGCGGCATCAGAAAATTTATTCGCTGTCTACCTTCCAGCGAAGCAACAAGGAAGTGGACGTACGCGTTGAGCACTAGCTTAGATTTTGGTTTGCCAGCTCAAGGCGCATCGCCAAATTCCTGCGTATTGTTGCTCTTCAACATATGGAACAATCCATAACGCGCCCGTGAGCTTTGTGGTTTCTCACACGGGTGAGTCTACGACTACAGCAGCTCAGGGTCATAGCTTAATCAGCTCATGACCCTCCGGCTTCCCGAACTACTACCGAGAAGCGCGGTGCACACAACAACGCGATGCGTCATGATCCTTATGATCATAAGCGTCTACGGCGTCTGGGCAGTCTTGCCCAAGTGGCGCTTCAAACTTCCACGAATTCTCGAAATCTCAATTTCTGGGTATCCCCGCCATTTCACAAGATATTTGGTTACACCCCGTCGACGACGTCGACCTACAAGGCGTTCCACGTGGTAGTGGACGTCATCCATCTTATCAAGTCGGCGGCGGGCGATGACGACTTGGTTAATCGCCGTCTGGCAACTCGCGATGCTCGTTGAGTATTGGAAAACAAGTCCGTCGTCATCAGCAGACTGCCGAGCATCTCTCCTGAGTCACTTACCGCTGTGCGGAATACCTCGAGAGCCTGGAGCACTTTGTGCACCGGCTGCCTCACGTTGAGGATTATCGTGCTCTGCTGGAGCGGCCCTAGCCATCGAGCAGGCGAATACGGCACATCGTGCGGCAGCAAAGAGCCTTGCGCCGCTGAAAACGGAAATTGTTGCCTTTGTGCTCGAAACCAATTGCTGGTTCGGCTTTTGGGTGACGGAGCGCCTTTGAACGCCGCCACAGCGCCAACGATTCCGCGTTCACTTGCGCCAAATCCGGGTACGGCTTAAGAAAGCCCACATAAAACAAGGGGTTGGTGCACATCTTACTCGGAACGTTTAGCGTATACGCAAGGCCTCGCTTGGTCACGACCTTCAAAGGTCCAAAAAGCCGTAGACGGAGCATCCTCTTAAAGACGGCAGAAATTGCATGTGTCGGAAGTATTTTAGCATTTCACAAAATTAGGTCTCCGACCTTAATGTTTTCAACATTTCTTCTTCCTTTTCTGTCTGCATATTCGTTTTGCATATTCTGGC